TGCTGAACCAGGGAGGAGCTGACCAGCTTAGACTTGCCAGTCTGAGCTCCAAGAAGGTATAGAAATCACAGAGTTTGGGAGAATATGCGAAATGTTCTGATGAAGCTGACGGACGTTTGTATAGGTCAGCTGTCAAAAGGGTCTCCAGGGGAGCCAAGTGTCAGTCAGCAAGCGGAGTCTGGGCCCACAGCCCTGTGGAGGAACAGACCCCAACTAAAACAAAGACAGGGCAGGAGAGGAAGCAGTTCAGAGTAGCTGCAGCTCAGGCCGTGGCCCTGACCTGCTGGAAGTGGAGCTGGAGGGGGAAGGAGGCAGAGGCAGGTGTGGTTCTAGGAGGCTGAAGACATGCAAGCCCTACAGAGGGAGAGGAGTGGAGAGCAGCGTCTGTGTCCCCCGTAGACTACATGCCCGTCCCCAGAGGGGAAGTAAGCCTAAGTGGGGTGTTTGGCCAGAGTAACGGGGTAACTTGTATCTGTCCGGATTCAGTGTCTGTGAGCCCCCCTCCCTCTTTGGCAGAGTGGGGAAGGGACCTCGACTATCACAGAGACACTCCAGAACAGTTGGCTCCATGGGGTTGGCCATGACCCTCGGCAGATGATGGCCCCAAGTACTCAGTTCTCACAGGAACTTGGCTTCCCAAACACTGGCTCCAGCCCCAGGCCTCTCACTCTCCCCAGTAATCAACCTCCACACCCTTTCTTTCTGTGGAGAGGCTACTGGCTCTCAGGGACACCTCCTTGGAAGAATAGGATCCCTAGGAAGAGACCACTACTTTCATCTGTTACCATTATCAACGCAAGGCTTTGGAGAGGGCTTCGAACCATCACTGCCCAACCAGAGACAAAGGACATGGGGACCACAGCCCTCCCCAGCTGGTGAGGTGTAAAGAGCCTGTTCTGGAAATGAAGACACTCACCATTTAATGAAGTGGACCCTCTTGTTTCCTTGAAGAACAACAAACCCAAAAGGAGTGAAAGCCAGAAATGCAGCATTTCCTGACACGTCCTGCAACACAGAAAGACTTCCCATGGGGTGGCGCAGGTGGAGATGGGGGAGGGTGGAAATACAGCTGTTCACTGAGGCGGGGTTGCTACTTAGTGGTGGGCCACAGAGGGAAGA